AAGATAAATTGCTGGCTCTGTGATTAATTAATTTTTAAAATTAATTTGTGATATGGTATTTCAAAAGAGAATTAAAGAACCCTCTATGGGGTGCCTGAACTGGCCTTAACCCATAGCCACACTGATGAATAAACCTTCATCTGGTGATGGATGGAGATAGAAACAGAGACCCACATTGGAGCAGTGGACTGAGCTCTCAAGGTCCAAATAAAGAGCAGAAGGAGGGAGAACATGAGCAAGGAAGGCAGGACCGCGAGGGGTGCATCCACCCACTGAGATGGTGAGACTGATTTAATGGGAGCTCACCAAGGCCAGCTGGACTGGGACTGATGGAGCATGTGATCAAACCGGACTCAATGAATGTGGCTGACAATGAGGGATGACTGAGAAGCCAAGGACAATGGCACTGGGTTTTGATTCTACTGCATGGACTAGCTTGGTGGGAATCTAGTCTGTTTGGATGTTCACCTTCCTAGACCTGGATGGAGGTGGGAAGACCTTGAACTTCCCACAGGGCAGGGAACCCTGACTGCTCCTAGGACTGGAGAGGGACGGGGAGGGGGAGGGGGAAAGTGGGAGGGAAATGGGAGGAGATGGAAATTTTTAATAAATAAATAAATAAAAAGAACCCTCTACGTAGTAGACATGCAAGCTAAGATAATGTCCTGCTACATGTTGTGACAAGAATAGCTTCTTGTTAAATTTAAGCAAATAAGCATATTGGCATGAAGACAATACTATGAAATGAAGGCTGGGTGTGGTGGTACAAACTTTTAATCCTAGCACTCTGGAGGATGACATAGGCATATCTCTGTGATTTCAAAGCCAGTCTAGTGTATATAGTAAGTTTCAGGACAGGCAAGGCTATATAGGGAGGCCCTACTTAAAAACAAAAAAATTAAAAACTTTAAGTTTTAAATTCTGAAAGAACCCAATTGAACAAAGGTAAATATTACATATTGATTTATAAAACAATATCTTAAGAACTATAACAAATAACACACAGTTTGAAGAAAAGATTATAAAATTATAATTATCTTTGTTCTAATAATCAGATAATTTTGCAAACAATATTTCTAATACATCTTCATCTAAATATCATTCACACAGAAAAAATGCTACCTGTAGTTAACAATGCTATCATAAATTTGAAATATCAAATATGTCTAATTAGTTCAACCTTTGTTCATGTAGAGAGAAAATATTATTTGGGAATTTCTAGGCACATTCAGAGAAATCTTAATTTTGAAACTAACATGTTAATTTAGAAGGTTATATGACATGTCTATCAAAACAGAGAATGTTTAAAATACTTAATAAGACCTTAGATCATTGTTAAATAACAATTATTTAACAAAAGAAGACATACAATATCTGTATTTCCATAAAAGGAAAATATATGTTCCTTAGTTTTTAAAAAACTAATAAAAATAACACTTACCTTGTTTAACAGGAAAAAAAAAACAGATTTTTTTTTGAGAAAGAATTAAGGCACTATAAAGCAAAGGAAATCACTTCATCATAACAACTGACTTTTATATTTTCTGATATATCATGAGGGCTGGCTTGTTTGTTTGTTGTTGGGGTTTTTGTCTCTCCCAGTACCCCACAACTGTTTAGCCCCAAAGAAAATCATGCATTGGTCTCCATAAAATATAAGCTGATTGGCCCATTAGCTCTAGCCTCTCACTGACTAACTCTCACATCTTGATTAACCCATTTGATCTATATTACCCATGTGGCTCATTACCTTTTATCAGTGGGACAGATCACATCCTGCTGCTTCGGTGATCTGGGCAGGAGAGGGAGGAATCAACTTCCTCCTTTCCAGAATTCTCCTGTTCTCATTACATCATTTCTACTTTCTGTCTGGTTTTCCCACCTATATTTCCTGCCTGGCCAATCAGCATTTATTTAAAATATGATTGACAGAATACAGACAATTCTCCCACACCATTTTGATTAAATTGCTTAATAGATAATGCTAAGTCCCTTTCATGTCTCAATATAAATAAATAACTCAAGAAAATACTGTCCCTCTTTTTACAGAAAAATACCTCATTCTAGTTTTGTGATACTACATCATTGAATTCATTTAGATAAAATGTACAAAGAAGCCCTAGTCTTTTGGCCCAAACTGGAAGCCCTGATATGAAAACCCAATTTTCTAATCCTTGTGGTGTGTTTTACTCTATTCAGGGCTAATCTTCATGTGTAGACGCCTCCTTTAATTATTTAGGATGGGCCCTTACTGGATATACTAGTGGTCCTTGGATTTGCTCTTTTCTTAACTCAAATTCAGAAATTCTTGAATTACAGGTTTTTTATTTACTTTTCTATTATTATGGTAAAACACTAAGATCAAGGCAAATTATTAAAGTAAGTGCTCAGTTGGGCTTATGATTCCATAGTGCTACAGTTTATAATGGTTAAGGGAAGATAGGATGGCAGGTACAGCTGAGAGTTCATTCAAATGGTAATCAGGAGGCCAAGAAAACACTGGAAATGGCATGTGTCTTTGAAACCTCAAAGACTAATAATCCCGTGCCTTAGCTCCTTCAATGAAGTCACACATTCTAATTCTTCCCAAGCAATTCTACCAACTAGCAATCAAGTATTTAAATGTATGAACCAATGGGGGATGTTGACATTTGAAGTACCATAAGTACATGCTACCATGCTCAATTTCTCTAGCAGTTAAGCCAAGGACAATGGGACTGAGTTTTGATTCTGCTGCACGTACTGGCTTTGTGGGAGCCTAATCTGTTTGGATGCTCACCTTCCTAGACCTGGATGGAGGAGGGAGGACCTTGGACTTCCCACATGGCAGGGAACCCTGACTGCTCTTAGGACTGGAGAGGGAGGGGGAGGGAGGAGAAAGAGGAGGGAAATGGGATGAGGTGGAAATTTTTCATGAATAAATAAAGTTAAAAAAAATCTTTATTAATGAGGGTTAGCACTAGTCATGTGCCTTCTCTTGAGCTACCAGTCTCCTGTGGCCTGGATGGAAATGAATGCAGGGTTTTCTAGCATTCATCCAGCCTTACACATAAATAAATACATAAAATACATAATACATACATAAAATAAATACATAAAATAAAATATATACATAAAATCTTATAAAATTACTAAACCCTCTCAGATTTAATATGCACATAAATTATCTGGTGATCTTTGTTAAAATGTCCACCTCAAGACAGTCAGTTTTGGTGTTGTCTAAAATGTATATTTCAAAAACAACTCAAAACACCAGAGGTTATGATAGCCCTGTTTCATAGTCTCACCGAACTGATGGAGGAGTTACTTTCATTGGTTAATAAAGAAACTGCCTTGGCCCATTTAATAGGCCAGCCCTGAGGTGGGTGGAGTAGACAGAACAGAATGCTGGGAGAAAGAAGCCGAGTCAGGCAGCCGCCATGATTCTCCGACCCCAGACGGATATAGGCTAGAATTCTTCCTGGTAAAACACCATCTCGTGGTGCTACACAGATTATTAGAAATGGGTTAATCGAGATGGGTTAATAAGCCAGTAAGAGGCTAGAACTAATGGGCCAAGCAGTTTTTAAAAGAATATAGTTTCCGTGCAGTGCGGGAGCTGGGTGGCGGGAAGCAGCCTGCTGCTCTCCTTACTACAGAGTGGCAGAGCGGTGTTGCTGCTCCTCACTACAGAGTTGAGTGGCAACACTGCTCCACTTACTACACCAAACAATAAAAACACTTATCATCTAAGAAAGCTGATTCCATTGTGTAGGCAATGTTTTCTGCTTGGGTTCGAATGTGAGGAAATTTTGTATCAACTGTCTTTTCTTTCATTTTTCCAATCTAGGGCTTGGAGAGATGGATGAGTAGCTAAGAGTGCATGCCGCTCTTACAGAGGACACAAATTCATGTCACACCAGGACTCTGAAAGGTATAAGTTCTATAGAGTTATGGTCTGATGCCTCAGCTTCACAGCTGATATTAAGCACCTAAAAGTTAATTCACCCATCATCTTATAAATAGTTAGTCATATGCCCAGATTCTAGAAGCAGTCTTCTGGCAGTGTTATCATCTTACTTCTTTGAAATAGCAAATCAGGGATTGGAGAGATGCTTCAACGGTTAAAAGGCATTTGCTGCTCTTCCAGTTTACCAGGGTTTGATTCTGAGAAACTGCATCTTTCATTCCAGTTCCAGGAAATCTAACACTGTCTTCTAGCCTCTGTAGGTACCAGGCACACATGTGGTGCACATACTTGCATGCAGGCAAACAATTTCATATATATAGGGTAAAACAAAATAAGTAGCTTTTGAAAAGAAAAAAAATAGTGTGCCAACAGATATAGTGAAATATAGTGAAAGAGTAACTGGCATGAAAGAAATGGAGATTTCCTAAAGAGACACATATATCTCCCAATCTGAATGTCAGACTAACAAGCAATTGATCCCAAAGAAATGGGAACTGACCTACAAATCCTATGCTGGAAGAAGGAAAAGGTCATAGCTAGAGTGGAAGATTGTCTCCGGGAAAGAGGTCTCAAAGTTCTAACTACTTATAGGACCAGGATGTGACTGAAACCCAAACAATGATGTTTCAGTAATGGGTACCACCACACCTTAACAAGGACTGCTTATATATGCATGTCCTTGGCCCTTTATTTCAATTTTAACCCCTCTTGAGTATGCTTAAGATAATGAACTTGGGAAAATCAGACTTGGGGAAATCTTGGGCTAGTTGGGCTTGGAGGATCTCTGGGTCTTGTTTCCCTCTTCTCATTGTAACTACATTAAATAAATAATTTATTCTACTTCCTACAATTAATTTAGCTTTTTAAAATTGTCTTATTGAGGAGAGGTAGTCCAATCTGGCTTAAGTTACAAACTGTGCCCTCCTCCCCCAGTGTAGCATTAACAAACACTGTGTGAAAAGTGGGCACATCCAAAATGTTGGTGCTGAAAATGGGCTAATAAAATTAATATCTTCACTGAATCAATCAACAAACAACCAAGACAGCAAAGTCACAGTTCAAATAGACATTTTAATATTGGTAAAGCAGTAATCTGGGGGAGTAAGTTCATTTACCAGGAGAGGGTATGTGAAAAGTAAGTGTTTGAGAGATCAGCGGAACTGCCCTCTTCATGGGCTGAAAACAAAACTATATTCAGGTCTCAGCACAACCTACATTAATTCTGTGTACATAAGGCCACAACCAGGCTCATGGACCTAGTGGGTTAAAGCTAGCTCTAACAACTTCATTACCAAATTCTTTCAGGATGATCAATGATTAGGGATGGACATCTATTTACAAATATGATTCAACTCAAATCACTTAGGCAGGAAAAAGAAAGGTATGGAGCACAGAGTAACAATAAGGGGACATCAAGAATGTTCCCAGTGGTAACAATGGGCAAAATGTAAACCTTGAATCTTTGTGATCTTGAAGTTACATTGCCCCTGAAGCTGGCTTTCAATTTATCTCCAACTTCATCCAAGCATGGGAAAGCTCAAATCATCTTTGACTACATATATAAGCAGATAAAATAAAAGGGGAGCAGGAAAGGGATAAAGAAGAAAGTTATTTAATCCAGGCATTCTCTAGCAGCAGAGCCACAGTCCCTAGACCACAGTGTAAGCTGTTTTGAAAAGCAGAGAGAAACATCACTACATGCACATGTTCTCAACTACTCCAGAATAGGAAATAATTTCTATGGCTATCAGCGCTTGTCAGAGGGGACACACAGACACTGACACTTATATCCAGAGGGAGCTAGAACACAGACAGTCAAAGCAGTATGCTCATCCTTCACTTTTATAGTAAGACACGGGCCATAAAATACTCAAGACAAAAATTCATCTTAGCAGAAGAGAAGGTGAAGGACTTGGCAGGAGGCAGAAAGACAGAGTTTCTTCTCCTGGGCATCAGTCTTTGAAAGTGAAGACCGAGGATTTCACAGATGTCTTCAACAAGTTATTGGCAGTACGCATAAGATTGGTGAAGCCACGGACTGTGAGGAAGAGAACAAGAGTCAGGGCTTTGGGATAGCAGCTAGGAAGGAGGTTCTCTCTCCTTGACCTCTCTCAGCCTCCCCAGTCATCACCCTCATCCCTACTATCTTCCCTCCTGGCTTTTCATTTCTGTTTAACTCAATTTGCCTTTAATCTAGTCTGATTCAGAACTTTCACCAGCAGGGAGACAATAAATGCCCAAGGAGTATCTGTTCTCAATGCAGGATTATTGAGATTCATCTCAGTACTGAGCTAGAAAGGACAGTTACTGTTACACTCTGTCCTTCCTGTCTCCCCATCTATGTCCCTTCCCCCTGTACTCATCTCTCTCCACCCCCAATGACACGTTTCACTCATATTCTACCACAGAAAGACAAGTTAAGGAAGTAGAAAAGCTCCCAGTCAGCATGGGGGCGGCACATGTGGGGCCTCTGGGCTCACTCTCTGCCAGGCCTGGAGACACAGTAGCGGATTTGAAGGGAGAAAAAAAAAGGGGGGGGTAAGGGCTGTGCTCCTACCTGCATTGTTGTGGAGCCACACCACAGCCTTTCTTTCCAGAAGGCTCCACTCACACTTCAACTCTTTGCCATTGGCGTGCAGCCAGATCACAGCCAGCATTGTAGCCCAAGCTGATGGTTCCAGTACCTGCCCAGACAGTAAATTCCCTGATGCCCAGGATGGAGCAAGATGTCTCTCAAGAGAACACATACAGAACTTCCCCTGCTCCCCACTCCGTATCCCCCAAATTGCTGCTGCATAGTTTCTTGGTTCCCTTCAATGCCCAACATGCATTTAGTATGTCAGATGTTTTCCCTGATCATCAGATTAACAACCCAGTGAGTCTTAGGATGGAAAAGTCTCCAGTCTTAATTCCAGTGCAAGCACTGGGTTAGCCATAGAAGCCCATGAAATGCCTCTGGTCCCACTGTGCCCAGAGAAGAACATACATAAAGAAGTGTCTTTATAAAATATTTAGGTCACAAGAATCTTCTTCTTCTTTCTCCACATGAAAGGACAAACAGAAAAAAAAATGTCAACTGAATAGTTGCAAAACAACAACAAAATGTCACACGAAAGTGAAATGATTTATCTAGTGTAGTGAATGATAGAGGTGAGACCAAAGACCAAATGAGTTTTTGCTAATTACATTACTGAATTGAAAACTTCAGGAAAATAATATCACCCATGAGTTTTTGCCCATTTTTTCTTAAAGTTTCAGTTTTTAGACTCAGCAAGTCAATGAACATTCCTGCTTTTAGTGTGACTCTCTACATTCAGAAGTAGCTATCTTGTCCTCTTTGAATGATGTCATTTTGTTAGTTTGCTTCCTTCATAGAGAATCTGCTCAAGGAAGCATAAGAATGCCAGGTTTGTTATCCTTGTCTAAGAGATCATAGTAGTTTTTAAAGTATACTCTGAATTGGCCACACCCAGAAGTAAACATATTTGTGAAATTTACTGCTCACAGTCCAAGCATTTAGCTTTACAGGTCAGCTTGTGGCCTCCACCAACCATCTTGATATGTGTGTCAGCCAGTTGAAATATCTGGTTTCACAGGCAACTTCTGACAAGACTTTGTGTCTTTCTTCTCCTTGTATAGGTGAGAATTACAAACCAATATCTATATTTGCTTTTATTTATACTATATGTTATAGTCATTTTAAGAAATCAAATCGAGATTATCTTATCTAATACTTTTGGAACCCAGACCTGCTTTTCTATTAATTTTCCTTTCAAGAATCTACTGCATAGCTTATCTCTTTCTTCTGTCACACATCAATAGGGACATTTGTCATGTGGGAGGTCCTTCTGTCTGTGTGTTGCCCTTATTGGTTAATGAATGAAGAACTGCTTTGAGCCTATGGCAGGAAAGAACAGAACTAGGCAGGGAAAACTAGGCTGCATGCTGGGAGAAAGAAGGGTGGAGTCAGAGTGATGCCATGGAGCTGCCTCCGGAGACAGATGTGCTGAAACTTTGCTGGTAGGCCACAATCTCATGGTGATGCACAGATAAATGGACATGGGTTAAATTCATATGTAAGAATGAGCCAATAAGAAGCTAGAGCTAATGGGCCGAGAAGGGATTTAATTAATGTAGTTTCTGTGTGATTATTTTGGGTCCAAGCTAGCCCGGCGGCTGGGAACCAACAAGCAGCCTCTTCCAAAACATTTGGGCCCACTTGTTCATCAGAATCTTCATTGGGAATACTAATATACAAAAATGCAGAACTTGGTGGATTTAAAACAAATTCAAATAAAATATTCAAATACTTTAAAAATATTACAATTTTAAATAGATTCACTATTTAGTATTACAAATTTCCAGTGAGTTTTTACTTGATCCAGATACTTATTTTATCCATAAGGTCTCTTGTACTCCAATATTATGCACCAGCTCTCTTTTTCTCTTCATTCTCTTGGCGTGGTTGCCATCTTCACAAGAGGGATGCTCATCTCATATGAGCTGTGCTCAATCTGTGCTAAAATTTCTTGATAACTTCATCTTTCTAATTTTTGTAAATTACCCTTTTTATTCTTTGTTCTAAAACAGCATTTTCATATAAAAACACAAGGCTAGACACATTCTTTGAAATCTTCAAATACCCACATTTTTTAAATTAAAAAAAAAAAAAAACAGCACGACAATTTTGGAATTTTGTTGCTGTTGTTTTGAGGGCTTCAGACTGCAGGGCCTTAGAGTTGCCCAGCACGAGCTGTAAATACCCATGAACTGTATCTTTCAGTTGCTCGTGTAGTTTCAAACTAAATAATAATCTGTGTGTACTTTGATGCTGGTACTTTGAAGTAGCTATGTGCCAAGCATGCTGCACTTTAGTTTAACTGTGGTTTCCTTTTCCATTAGCCACATTCCCGGGACATCACAGCCACGTGCCACTAGTGGATACCGTACTGGACAAGGTGGCTGGACACTAAGTGAAGCTTATTTCGTCACATTGCAGGTTAAGAAATTATTCAGAATATAATTTACTCTTTGTTGTTTTTGCAATTTGTCCTATATTTCAAGGATTTCTCACCAGCTAGATGATTTATCAAGTTATTTTACAATTTTCAGTGTAATTTATCCACATGACCTAATTCAACACATTTGAATTAATTGGTCAGCCTATTGTGACTTCAATAAACTTTGAGGAAAGTGTAGGCCATATCCTTTGATTGAAGGTGAAACCATAATGGTACTATTATTAAGGGTTCTTAAGACACATACTTAACATCATTTTAGCTCTACCCACCACTGGCAGACAGGGTCTGTAATATTCACCTTTTTCATCTATAAACATCAATGTAAAAGAAAACTTCTCTACTTGACTGATGTGAGGAACAAGTAACAGCACATATGCTAATTGCTTAGCTAGATAGTTTTTATTTTTAGAGCTAAAAAATTGGCATATAAATATATATGAACATAATAGAATATGAATGAAGTAGAGGAGGATTTGAGCTTTCTTTTGTCATCCATTACCCTTTGAATGGACTTGATATTAATTTTAGTCTATTCTTGCTCTTACCGTTCCATTATAATCACAAAAACTATCAATCTCTATATACTAGATGCTAGTCTTGTCCATATGACTTCATATTCTCCTATCTTAAGGGAACCTTGATTCATGCAAATTTCTACTTCTGGCAATATTAGAAACAAATACCAATTTCTTTGATTTTTATTTGGATTTTACCTCAGTAGGGTGTGCAGCCGTTATGTCTTCCAAGCTAACACCTAGAACCTTGGCTAAATCCTCATTCATATCCCAGGAACCATTTGCATTTTGGAGAAGGATCAGCTGGGCAACAGTATGCTCTATACTCCCTTTAAGAAAAGAAGAAAAGATATAAAGTGTTGCAAATTATACTTTTTTTTTTGCCCTGCCTGAGTGGCTTTCTAAATTCAGTGCCATGTAATAGCAAGAGTGCTGCAGAAAACCAGCCTTCAGATATCCTCATGATATATCTTCATGCCCTGTATGTGAAAGGATGACCAGGGTAGAATGAACCAAATAAGATGTCAGCTCAGTTATGGAGGCCCTGCCGACAGGGAGTGTGTATATAGAAAGAGATGGCAAATAGGGGTTTGTTAGTCTAAAAGATACTCTAGAGCCAATTAGAGGTTTAAAGATCCTATATTGTAGTTCAGTAAACCTAGGCTGACCATGCCAAGTACAGGTACTGGACCAAATCTTACCTGCTATCAAGTGCTCCCAGTAGATTTCCTGGTAAGGAGATTTGGAAGACTGGTACTTTAATCTCCATAGATCAAAGAAACAAAATAAGGTCTTGCTCACCTTGTTGTGAGCAAGCGTGCAATCTGAGTATTTTGGGCAGCTCCGGGCGAGTATCTGTGTGAATCACGCATTTCGTGCTCTGGCTATAATAAGGCTGAGGTGCTGCGCCTAGATGGATGTGTGAGAGACAAACCTTGGTAAGACAATGTTCCTGGAACAAAGCTCACTGAAGCTGCAGGGACAATTATGATACATTGAGCTTAAAGGATTCTCACCATGAGGCATTTGTGCCATGACTGCACAGAAACCTGTGTGTATGCTCCATGGAGGCTGAGATACAGGGGCACTGGAGCAGGGTAAAATCTTGGGGTAACCTGAAAGGCACAAGTCCAAACCCTTACATTGTGGCATTCATGGTCTCCAAAGCTGAAGAAGATGATGAGATCTGATGATTTGAGACAGAAGCACCATCTCTTTCAGCTTTAGTAGGCACCTATGTATTTCATTCTTTTCTCATGTGCTGTCTTCTTGTGTACTCTCTGACCCTCTCTACTTTCTACCTTCTTCCTTTTGAAACCCCCAACACACACGCAAAAATGATCTTTCATCCATCTTTTGGTTCATCCCAGGGAGCTCCTTTCTACCAGCCCTTAACACGAAGTGAATTTATTCTTCCCATATCATTGTTAACACTCCCCCAAATGCCCTGGCCATGGACAATATCAGTAAGGATAGGGTTAAGGAGAGGTGTTGGAAGCCTCTGATCTAAGTCAGAATTTCAGGGTTCAGGCCCAAATCATCATACTTCCTTCCTCTTTTGGGTTACCTTCCATCTGTCTTCATGTTTGAGCCTTCTTTGTTACTTCCTGTGATCCACTGATCTATCTGAAACTCAGGACAATGACTTCCAACCAATTTCGACCTCTGCCATCAAGTTGAAATAAAACATCCTAATGTAGTTGGACCTGACTCCCTCAAATCCAGAGACTTTGTCTCTGTTCTACTTCAGTGCCAACCTCCTCACTCATGACAAACTTGTCGTCATTCAGCATTGGTCTACTTTTCAAACAATTAATTAGAATTTATATATGGAATATATATATAATGCATATATATAGTGTGTGTAGTGTTTTAACTTAGTGACTATTATATTTCGTCTCTGTCCACATTTTAGACTACATAAATCCTTTGTTTTTCTACTTTCCCCCTTTAACATCGTGTTCCTCCCTACCACCTTTGTTTTTTATTCAACCCAATATATTGCACACACTTAATTACTTAAATTCGCATCAGTAATTTCCCCTTTATTACAGCTATCTGGCAAAAACCCTAATTTGGGAATGAAGCCAAAGCTCTATCCATTTAATTTTTATTCACAAAATGAATGAGCATTGCTAAAATAAGTTCCCCAGATCATGATTGTCTTTAGTTGTTTTAAAGATACCCTTATCCTGAACAAATGATCATATTTCTCTCTGAGCATCACATTTTACAAGTGTACTCAGTGGCTCTTTCAAATCTACTCCTGCTCAATGCCTTCTTTCCTTCATCCTTCACACTGTCTCAGTCATTAGCCATCATTGAGGAGCTTTTAAATTCTGATTCTCAAGGTTTATAAACATTTTTAACATTTTAAATTTTCCTTGTTTCTTTTCTCAACACCTGGTTTCAAATATCTTTTCCAATTGATATACATACATAAATACACATACACATATATAGATATATACTGATTGATTGATATATATCAATACATATAGTGAAACTTGAGGATGTTTTAAACATTCCCTTTACATACTATTCCCAGAATGTCAAAACTTATTATGTATAGAAGTATTTAGGGATAAAACTTACCATCAGAAGAATGTCTTGGCCTTGTAGAGGAACCTCCAAAGAGAATCGGCCTTGGAATCTCCCTATGAAACAGGGGCCCATGGACTGGCTCATTGAGCTCCTTGTTGATGGCAACGAAGGCTGTGAAGGAGCTCATGACTCCAGAGTCTAAACTGATGCTCAACACATCTCTTCTAAGTACCAGTGTTGTCTCTCTGAAGCCAAAGTCTTTGGACTGGATCATGGACTTTGCAGCAAGACGATGAACAGTGAGGCTGAAAGGAAAAAATATTTTGAGAGTAAGTGGAAACCCACATGCCTTTTAGTTGGTGGTCTTAAATGTTACAAGTAAGGGACTGTGAGAGAAAAATGGAGGAAATAAGTGGGCAAGAAACAAAATATGAGTGTAGGGACACAACTGGGTTCAGGGTAAAGAGAAGGAATTCAGCTATCAAAGATAAAGAAAGAAGGAAGAGGAAAGAAAACACAATTCTCACTTGTCGTCAGTCTTGGGTTGTAGAGAAAATGTCACCTTTTCCTCATAACTTTTGCCATGAAGAGTGTATTTGAGACAGGCCTCACCTGTAGCCTCTTCCTGCTATAAATTAGAGAAGAAAAATAAAAGAGAGGAATCACTAGGAAGATGGTGAGAATGTAAGCTGCAACCCCCGCCCCCC